CAAGTTGCCTACGAGCATGACTGCAAGAAGCATCCAGAAATTTAATAGAATGTTCTGGGACGCTGGATCCGTTTTCCAGCAGGTGCTGCTCCCCACCAATAGATGGAGCCTCCTCAGGAGTGCTAGTGGTGCCTGCTCTTATCAGCACCCCTAGCACCAGCCGGGGAAGTCTTGCTTAAATATATATATATATATATATATATATATATATATATCATATATATTCTGTTTGTGACGATATATATATATATATATATATAAAGAGGATCCAGAAATCGGTTGAAAAATGCAAATTTAAGTGTGTGTATGCCTTAGGATGGGTCTGGATGACGATGACTTTCGGGCTGTGGGCAGTGTTTTTTTCATGCATTCTGACTCCTGAGTTCCTGACCTGTGTCGGTTTTTTCTCTTTAAATTTGTGCTTTTTTTTCTCTTTATTGATCCAGGCTTGAAGGCGAAATTGGCGAGAGGCGAAAGGCGAAATTGGCTATCGCAGTTGCAGGAAGCGAAGTCAATGGTCTTCAAGTTGCACTCTTGGTGGCAGAAGGTGCATTTAAAAATTTCAAGGTAATATTCGAAGCAAGGCACACTGGCAAAGCTCAAATGATCTGCAGGGGAGATCAAGCACAGAGAGGGACCCCGTCAGGAAGGAGTACAACGCTTCAATGCCTTTAATGTATGAAATCTTCCCAGCATTCCAGCTGCAGCAATCAAGTCCTTGTTGAAATCTGTTTGTGAAAGATCACCAGTTCTGGTGGCATCCAAACTTCCGAAGGAGTCAGGAACGTGGCGTAGCTTCGCTATTAGCTTCGATATCAACTTTGGCACTCCATCTCCTAATATGTGGCTGGAGTGCCCAGACCGTCTTCACGACTGGAGGTCCCCAAGCAAGTGGCTTGCTTGCAGATGAAAAGGAGATACGATGAGTTAATAGCATGATCATTATAGCTATGCTTGTCAAAATGCCGTAAATCCGCGTAAAGCACAACCAAGCCCGAGTACACACAGCCTTTAATATGTCCTTCCTGTAGTTACTTCGCGTATTTACTATTTATAGAATGAAGTCAAAACTTGGCACTGCCAGGGAGAAGAGAACTCAGGTCAACGCAGGCTTGCCGGGTGATATGACCTATTATGGGACTCAGAGCTAAGGAAAGTAACTGTTGTCAATAAGCATTGGCAAGTGAAAGGAGGCTCAGCGTTTAATTAAACAAGTCAAACCAGCAATTACATCCGACTCATCCGAGTCGATTCTCTTTTTGCCGAGGTGGATTCCCCCTGCGTGCCAAGCTCTGCTGAAACACCAGTGGGGTGCTTTTTCTTTTCTTTTGGCTGGTAGCCTGGTGCCACCAGCCATTTTGGTCCGGAAGCCCTGAGCCTCTGAAATGTTCGGGTTGGCATGTGTCGGCCCAGGTGGGGACCGTGGGGGGGCAGAACAACAGGTCAGCAGTTAGCTCCTGCACTTGCTGATGGCCTGAGGTTGCTGATGGCTATCATGTTACCTATGTATGCCATTTCATAGTGGAAAAACTTGAGGTGAATCCCTAGGCGGCTATGGAGGTGACTCAGGTGAGGCCTTAGTAGGGTATGGACTCTGGAGGTTGAGGACTAGGTAGGCTATGGAATCTGGTGCCATTTCACAGTCGCTGTGGAGAAAGGTTCTGACTACTAGAATCTGATCAGTTCGCAACACGTGACGGGTTACGGACGGTGGCCCGCATTGCCAACTTGCGGTGTGACATATTACGGAAGTTCAACGCTCCAAGTCTTGCTGGAGAGTACATTGGGTGGCTCAACTGTTCAAGGGGGGTTGCAGCAAGGCCCGTGCTGTCCGCATTCGCCGGTCATGGCTTGGTGCAAAATGGTGCGAACTGCAGGATTTCACTGCAGCAACCTATCGCTACGAGGGATTGATCTCCAAATCTCACGGTCTTCAATTTCTGATAGGAATGTGATGATTCAGTCCAGCCATCCGTCGATAAAGCCAAGCACACTTTGTACACGGCACTGCTGCTATGGCAAGGAGAGCACTTGTACTCCTGGAGCTTCTTCCATATCTTTCCGGTGCACTGGCAAGGCGAGCACACCACGACGATGGGATTTGGTTTCTCCTTTCAAAGGTTCTCCTTTGTCGTGTCCTTCTAGCAGGCATTTCAGCAGCAATGGTAATGATGGGTCGGTAACAGCTGTGTTAGCGGCGATGGAAAACTCGCGTCCGTGCAACGACATGCGACACATGACAGCAGATGCCCTCTGCAGCAACCTGAAAGCTCTGTCATCCAGGCGTCAGTCTATTCGGAAGGTGGTGATGTCTCCGGCAACAGGTTTGACCTTGGGGAAGGCTGCCCTGGAAGCCAGTGAACTACCAGCCGCGGGTTCTGCAGGCTCTGAATTGGGAGAGGATGTCATAGGTAGGAGTTGGAGTGGTACTAGTGGGAGTGGTTATACAAAAGAGAGCCTGTACTTCAGTGTCGGGTCGCTGACGGGCCAAAGCGAGGATAGAGGAATGGGGGGAGGGCAGCTGGGGGACCTTATTGACAACGGTCGTGTTTACACTGAGACACTTCCCATCAGATGCTATGAGGTGGGGGCTAATCGAACGGCGAGGATAGATACAATTGCCAATCTTTTGCAAGAGGTGGGCGTGAATCATATGCGCTTCCTGGGTTTCTCCGAAGATGGGTTTGGGACAACCCCTGGAATGAGGGAGAAGGGTCTTATATGGGTGACAACGAGGCTTCATGTTGAGATGCTGCGGTACCCTGCGTGGGGTGATGTCGTTGAGATCCAGTCCTGGCTGCAGGATGGGGGCAAGGTGAATGCCCGGAGGGACTGGGTCATCTCTGATGCAAGGACGGGCCGATTGGTTGGGCAGGCCACGAGTGCCTGGGTGATGATGAACCAGGACACCCGTCAGCTCGTCCGGATCCCGGCGAATATCAAGGCCGAGTACCTACACCACTGCTATCCACACAGACATGCCATAAATGACAAGAGCAGGAGTCGGAAGAAGATAGAACGGCTGGACGACCCGCCGGAGTTCGCAAGGAGCGGGTTGCAGGTGCGGCGAAGCGACCTCGATATGAACCGACATGTCAACAACGTGACGTATGTTGGGTGGATTATGGAGAGCATTCCCCTCGAGGTGCTTAACAACTTTGAGCTCCTCAGTCTCACGCTAGACTACCGGGGCGAGTCGTCTGGCCATGATGTGGTCGAGTCACTTACAAGTCTGGGATCCGCTAGTTTGGATCCTTCTTCAACAGAGAATGACTCGGATGTGAGGGGCAGTCGTCAGTTCTGCTCATTATCGTCATCGTCATCGTCATCGTCATCGTCATCGTCATCGTCATCGGCATCGGCATCGGCATCGGCATCGGCATCGTCATCGTCATCATCATCGCCATCGTCATCGTCATCGTCATCGCCATCGTCATCGCCATCATCATCGTCATCGGGCGAGTCGTCTGGCAATGATGTGGTCGAGTCACTTACAAGTCTGGGATCGGCTAGCTTAGATCCTCCTTCAACAGAGAATGACTTGGATGTGCGGGGCAGTCATCAATTCTGCTCATTCTCGTCATCGTCATCGTCATCGTCGTCATCGTCATCGTCATCGTCATCGTCATTGTCATCCTTCAGCAATGGCAATTGCAATGGCGATTCCAAATCGGCCTGTGGAAATCGTCTGAGGTGGGGAGTAACTACTGATGGAGCAGCCTCATTAGGAAACACTGCCCGGACCGAGGGACAAGGTGGTCATCCTGATGGGCCAGGTTCATTCACTTTTCTGTTGGTGGATGGATTCCGAAATGATCATGAACATGGTAAGCCTACTAATCCTCAATTGTCCGCGAATGGGATGAATGCGATGAATTTCGAACTGAATAACCAAGTCGAACGCGAGAAGAGTTCTGCCTGTACAAAGGGGCAAGTCAGAGCTGCACTGCATTTTGTTCATCTGCTAAGGTTGCAGGATGGCAAAAAAGAACTCATCCGGGGATCAACAACATGGCAACAGTGCGGATAAGGAAGATGACAGTGCGTGTGGCTTGACCAGCAAGTGAAGTGAGCATGGAGGTCATCCATGGAGGATCATAGGTGGACAGCAATAAGTTCATAATATGTGAATAAACGTACGTTATGGCGGATAACTTGTTTTTTTTTTTTTTCTTTTTTTTTTTTTCTTAACCCCGCGACCACACTAGGGGTTGTGATATGAGAATCCCCTCCTAGGGGGCCACCTGGTTGGTCCAATCTATTGGTGGGGAGCAGCACCTGCTGGAAAACGGGTCCAGCGTCCTACTGAGATTTTCATTATGTCTCCTGCCAGCATTGATTGCCCGTATTACCAGGGATTGACTGCGCAAGCACTGTCCCATCTGACCAAAAAACGGTGCTATGACAAGCGAATGATGACAATGCTGAGGCGTACTACTACACCTGGGGTGCAAAGTAGTCATAGAGAGATATGGAAAGCCAAAGTCTTGTGAGGGAATCATAATGGCTTGTTGTTTAGGTTTGCCTGGAAAGTGCTAAGTGGTTTGTTTGTGGAATAATGGTGCAAATAGCTATCAGCCCACATAATAGGGGTAAAAAAAGTTATCAGTGGGCTAGTAGCTTTTTTTTTCCGCAACCTTCGGTGGTTTCCCTCTCGTAGTACTGTGCGGGAAGGGAACCTTTGCAGCCCTGCTTCATAACGACCTAAGTAGCGGAAACGGGAGGACAACCGTAGACGTGTTCCTCTCCCGCCATAGCCAGGTGGATTTGCGGCAGGGGGGTACTACGTACTTCTATTCATGCACCCATAAATTCTCGGCGCCGCTCGACAAGAGAAAGCAAGATTTTGTCTTGCCAACCTCCCTATGGCTTCCCTTTACTAAAGTTTGGATCTATTCCTCTTCTGCTATCTCTCTGCTGCAGCTATAGTTAGCTACAGTCTGGCTGTTGTTCGCTTGCTATGAACAAGAATGATCTACGGTGTCGGTTGTGATAGAGGTAGTGGCGAGAGTCCTGGAAACTGTCCGAAGGGGTGTGTCAAAGGGTTGTGCAGATAGTGCCTGTTCGTGCAATATAAAGTGTCTATTCGAATAGGTTGTGTGTCTGTTCGAAGGTCAAGACAACTGTAAAGTCCCAATACTGAATTAAGTTCTGTAGGCAGTCCAGATCCAGTCCTACTGTCCGAAATACAGGCCGAAGGCCAAAAAGCAGCAGTACCTTTCTGGGATATCACTGGGACACATGCAATGCAGGGCCTGGGACAGGGCCGAAGTGCCAATTCAGATGCTGAACGTGGAATCCAGCACTATAAAGGAGGCTGCTCGCCTCATTTGTGGCAGATTTCCCACTGGCGTGGAAGTGCTGGCCACTTGTGCGCTMTTTGGTGGGAGGAGGAGGATGCGCTGGAGCTGGAAGTGGCGCTGAAGGCAGAGGCTGGGCGCTGGTGCAGGATGATGCAGCCATAGTTGCCTGGCCAGGATGTTAGTAGTAGGAGCAGCCATAGCTGACTAGCACAAACTAGAAGAGGAAGACCCATGAGATGCATTCAGAGTACGTCCTTGAGAGAGAAGAGAGAGTGTTCATGCATACGTGGGAGGAAGGAACTACATCAGAAGGTGTTCAAGAGCTTTGGGCTATGGAGGATACTTACCTGGACTGAGACGTGATCTCCAGAGGCAGCGCTGTAGTGTACATGCTGTCTTGATGCGTTGGGGACTGAATATGTGTTGAGCTGGGAGTGTGTTTGAGTTCAGGGAACATTGGCACTCTTTGTAAACATAATTTTGATAATATAAGCTGCGTCATGCAGCATTCTTCTCTCCTACCCTTGTCTAAGTGTGATGGCTACAGTTCTTGGAGAGTGACGAAGTTGCATGATCTATACACTTTGGCGTGAGATGGTCCACAGGACCCATGCACTAGGAGAGGTGATACGAGCACCCCCTCCTAGTTCAGCAATGCCCTTTGGTGACAGCTTGTCAAGGAGACGAGGTTTTCACCAAAGCTCTGCTGCACCCCCTTGAAGTTTCTGATAACATCCATATCCCATGCGAGACGGCTGGTAATGCTGTTAGGGTAACTTAAAGGCGACGGCCACCATGGAAGATTTGACTGCTGATTTGACTTCAAGAAGAAATTGGAGTGCTTGTTTATCTCCACGATTGCCCCCAAGCCTACTCACCTGAGTGTGTGTTGTTGTCTAACCCTTGAGGGGGAGGGTGTGCACCACACACCTTGCCCCGAGCTTCATATCACACAAACTCCAGCTGTAGGCCATCTGCATTCCGACTCGCAAGGAGTCTGACCCAGGGCGTGCCTGCTTACGGTCCTCTCCTTCAATGAGGTTCTTTTTTTTTATAGTCTAATTCTTGTAAGCCCAACCAATTCAATTACCTGTCGAATCCGGACAGGATGTGCTTTGAGCAGTGCCGTAACCCCGTTCACCGTTCATGGGGTCTGTGAACGGAAACCGGTCATGGAGTTCATGGAGTTCACGACATGGGAGTTCATGGAGTTCACGGAGAGCGGGATCGGTTTTTTTTTTTTTTTTGGCTGGGGGGGGGTGTTTTTTTTTTTATGATGGTGGGGGTCATCGAAGGGTAACCCCCATATTTTTTTCAAAATTTTCTTTTCACAAATAATATTTTTT